TCGTGGAAATGTCTCGTCTAAGAATACCGACAATGTTTTGACAAAATATACCCAAATACTGAGAGTAGTAATGTCCATATTGACCACGCTAAAATTGTATTGTATTTTTTGTCTTGAATGAACTAATAAAAAGGACAAATTTTTTTATCTAATTTCAAGAGAGCCAAGAAATTGGATTTTTTATTTAATTTTTCGATAAAAATTTGCGCAGAGCAAGGCCAGGCACAATCAATCATTTGAAAGGAGTGTTTTAACGTTACAGGCAGTCACGTAGCAGTGGTTGCCTAATTCTTTGTGTTACGGGCCCCCGAGAAGAGGTTATTTTTTACGGAACTACACAATAAATTCATAAAAATAAGAAGAAAAAAAACATTATTATTTACCGTATGTTTCTAAAATTACTTTATTCAATGACTCGGATGTATTTGCTGCTTTGTATTTTAAAAAAAATTCAGTATTTTAATAAGTAAACGAATAGCTCGCGGAGCCTCTAGGTTTCTCTCACGAAGCACTGAGGCTCCGCATGCAGATTGGCGTGTACCTTGACACGGTCTAACTCAATACAATTAGGAAAAGAGCTATAGAAAATAAAACTTTGTTTTTCGAATTTTTCACACCGTCTCAATATTTCAAAATTAATTCGTTCTTCTTACCCTGTATACTGGAGTATTTGAGTGCAATTTTCTAACTTTTAAATTCTCAATTATCTCTATAATTTGGTTCTAATCAAGTTTTGGGGTAAAAAATGAGACTTTTTACGTCAAAGTTGTAATTAATCTTAACTTGGGTCAAAAACATGTAAAAGTTAGGTTCAAGTTCCTGAAAAAATGCAAAAAATGTCTTTAAAGAACCGATTTTGGGGCCAAAAAGTCGATTTTCAACACATCAAAGGTCAAAAGTTGCTCGTGAAACAAAATCATGTATTATTGTTAAAAAAGGAGAGTTAATTCACTGAAATTAGCCAAAATTCAAGATAATACTGATGTTCGAGAATTGAATATGGCCCGAAGGTTTCAATTTATTAAATAACTTTTATAGTTGTAAAGTTTATTTCATTATTTACTCATATTTGCCCCAGACTATATAAGAAAAGAACTGTAACGAGACAATGAACAAGCGAATACCGTTATCTTGATTAGCGAATAATCACATGCAGACCGAAGTAGTGCGCGTTCAAGGATGTTGAAATATAATTTTTGGAGAGACCACGTAATTTTGAAAGTTTTGTATATGGGACCTTGGTAACTACAGGCTACAGGAAGGGAATAGATGAAGAGATGGTTCATAAGTATAGTGAGTGATATTGGGCTAAAATTTACGCGTTTTTCTAAAAGCAATTGTTCGTCCGAATTTGAAGAGGCTTAAGCATAAATCTTGCACAAACACCTGGACAAGAATATCGTGTTTGCAACTATCTACTGAAATGTGTCTTTTGGGTTCAATTAGCTTGATAATAGATAAATTTTTACTTAGGGTGCTTGTAAAAGGCCTTTTTCAGAGCGTAGATGAGAAAAAAACGACTCAAAAATGCGAAATTCAGAATAAAAACGAAGAAAACGGTTCTAAATTACAGCCACAATCTTTTAATTCTCACGTGATGATCATATAGTGTTCCGTCACAATAGTATTATGTTACGTCACAATGCATGGGGCGGTTTGCAGGCGACAGTCGCAAAACAGGGTGCAACGTAATCCAACACTCTTGTGAAATTTCTCAGAATTTTCGAAAAATTAAAATATCGCTGCCAAGTTTGGGAGAAGGTTGTGTTTCAAAGTATATTCACGGCCAGTGTTCGATCGAAAAATAGATTATGTTTCACATGTAGCTTGCCGAAAACACACAATAAAACGAAATCCATCTAATCCACTATTTGAAATGGAAATTCACTCCAAAATCGCAACGAAATTTAAGACTATCCATACGAGTTAGACGCCGACGGGAGCAAGGTCGCAACCGCACGGCGCCGTCGAAAATCAGACGCGAAAAACAATATCTTCAATTCGTATTGTGATGTCACAAACATGATAAAGAAAAAGGCGGGAATTATCTTAACAAAAATTTAAAATCGCGAGTATATATATATATATATAGTATTGTTTTGAGTAACATTAAACAATATCTTTGATTCGTGTTGTGATGCCACAAATTCGATTAAATAAAAAGGCGGGCAATGCCATTTTTAAAACATTTAAATTCGCGGGGATATAATAACACTATATTGGATTATGCTATACTGCTACATACGTTTGTTAGATCGGCGAGGAAAGTATTTTTGCAATTCTGAATAAAATTGTAGTTAAAAGGCATTTTTGGGGTCAAAAAATGGTTTTTAAAAGCTGTAAAATTACAAAAAGTATGATTGATGGGATTTAAATAGTACCATTAATACAGCTTTATCAGTCTAATTACCGACTTTACTTAAGCAAGTGCAAACATTTTAATTAACAATTTTAAATAATTAGGCCTAAGATAAGGGATATCAACTCTCACGATATATTATCGTGTACCGTAAACGAACATTGGATATAGTGTAATCAGAAATTTAATTTAAAATTTGTTTTTTAAAAAAAAAAAATTATTCGAAATTTAAGATTATATATATGTTACTTGTGATTGATAGGATAACTTATTTTGAACAGGGGATTAGGTGCTCCCGAAGTATGCGACCCAAGATGGCGGACATCGGAACGTAACATGGGTAACAGGTTAGGGTTAGGCGATAATTTTTTTTCCAATTTTCCTTATTTTAGTCCAATTATCAGTTCGAAGACTAGCCAAGAGCCTCCCGTAGTATTTATAGCTAAAATTATGGCCTAACCCTAACCTAGTACACATATTACATTCCGATGTCCGCCATCTTGGTTCGCATACTTCGGGATCCCCGGGGAATAGCCAGGGGGCTTGGGGGCTAGGCCCTCCCTTTTAAAATGTAAAAAAGCATCTTTCTGTTACATACATAGCAATTTTGCGTAGCTTGAAATGCTTTTTAGACCTCCAAGATACTTAAAAACAACGTTTCCCCGGCCCCTGGTCTGAACCGGTAGCTGTTATTACGGTCTGACTCAGCAACTAGAACCCTCAGCAACCCTTTAAAAAATCCCGGCTAAGACCCATATTTTGAAGTCAACAACAATAGAAGAAATTAACGAATTAATATAATATTACCCTGCCCATCAACGAACGATCATTTGTAACCTAATACATCTACATAAAGATCAAACAACTTCGAAACCCAGTAAAACACAACCTATAAAGTAAAGAAGACCGAGAAGGGAAAACGTGAGTCTAGCGCTGTTTTCCGAGAAAGATGACTAATAGGATGCTTTACAAAGGAAGTTTGTTGGTTTTTACCTAACACTTGTGGTAAATTGACATTTGGTTTTAAATTTCAAAGACAAGAACGAAATAAACATCCGAAAAATATATGTAATTCCATATTTAAATTTGCTCACCATCTAAATATGGTTAAACTAGATTTTGACTTTGGACTCAAAACATTAATGCCGGATTCCACCCGACATTAGAAAATGGGTAATCCCGTAGTATATGTACCGGTTTAAAGTTGGGCCACAAATTTATTCCGATTTTTTTTATTTTAGTTCTGTTAGGAGTTCGGGGACTTTCTGTGTTAGCCAAGTGAATATACTCCCTGCCCTTAACTTTCAGTCCCTTTACACAACTTGATGTAAATCAGGCGAACAAAATTAGTTATCTCCATATTGGTACACACACTTCAGGAGCGCCCCTCCATTAGTGGTGTGTTTAGAAGTAGGTAGGTAATACTAATACATAAATACGCACAGGTCCCTTCATCACAAATTATGACCTAACCCTAACCTGGTAAACACACTACAGGAGTACCAAAATTGTTACATTAAAATGAATTGTTTTTGGAAAGTTACATTAAACATCAAAAAGGGAGTTTGGAGAATGGAATTCGGAAATTAAGAACATCTAATTGAAATGCTTTCTTTCATGTTGCAAATCGCGTGTTTTCAATGTAAAATTCCACTTCAAATTTTTAATTGTGACGACAAAATTACTTATTGTTAACGCACAATCTATGGCGGCAATTTTCCTTTAAGACGAAAAGATAACACGCTCGAATAAATTTTTTAGTTATTTGATGCCAAACACCGGTTCGACTCGTTCAGATCGAATTTCCTTTTGTGTTTCAATCTTTCAAGTTTCTAACTTTTCAAGATTCTGGCTCGCGTTTTCGGAATTCGGTTTTTGAACACGATAAGTGTCCGACTATACACAAGTCATACAAAAACTACAATATTCCTAACTTCAGACAAACTAGATCAGTTACTTACAAATCTGACAACTGGTCCAAACGATTCATTTCTTACTACAATCCTGATTGATTTGCCGTTTAATTCGATTAGCGAAATTCTCTAAGTGTAGTTCATATTCTGTTACCTACTTTCCCAACGATTTTAACGCTACATATACTATACACTTGTGACGTCATATTATTAGACGCCACGATGACGTCACACGATTGAGCATACAAAATTATTAAACATATGTACAAGATTCTGATACTAAAATCCCAGTCTCAAGATTCTAGGAATGTAACCTATAGTGAAATCAAATTCTCAAATATTCCCCATATGACGTCATATGGGGACCAATTATCTGTTTTCCGATGCGTCGTGTGGGATTAAATTGAACTCCTATAGTTTTGAGTAACCCAATGCTATTGAAAACAAAAGAAGTAAGACTCATCTAACAGAATAGGTTTCACTTTAGCCTCAGCCTTAACAAATTGGTCAAACTTACCAGAAAGTTGCTAACTAGTATTACCTAGGTTTGGAGGCGCGTAAGATCGAGTCTTAAGAAATTTAGTGTCATTATGACATGAAAAATCTATTTATTTCCAATAAGAAAGGGTTTTAAGAAGTAAACGAAGGTAGTCACATGTAATCCTAGGTTCACATAAAATTACACATACACACGCGAAAACACATATACTTAACGAAAAACTACTCACGAGAGTTGCACGTCTTTCCCTTCCATTTTCTCTCACATTGACAAATAAAATCGTCGTCTAAGTCGATGCATCTTCCTCTACCATGACATGGATCTGGTGAACAATCATCCACATCTAGAAGATGAATAAATAAACGTGAAAACATGACGTCATCAGCCAAGAATGACGTCACAAATATAGGATAAAATGACAACACAGTCGCTAATATGGCGTCACGACGTGATTACGACGTCACAAACCATCCTAAAATCCTAGTTCGAATTTATCATAGAAAGGAAATGAAAGTACAATGAGCTGACGTCAGGATTAGTGATGTCATATTATGCGATTACTTACTTATTTCACAGTTATCGCCCTCCCATCCATCTCTGCACATACAGAAGAAGCCGTTGACGTCATCGACACAAGTGCCGCCATTTTGACAAGAATTATGAGTACAATCGTCGATATCTGGAAAAAAATGAAGTTTAAAGTAATAACGTCATGAATATGACGTCACATATTGCAAATACGAACATTGATAAAAACGAATGATACTATAGTAACTACAACATGAAAAACTAATGACCAAGTGAATTTGAGTTCTCATAATTGCATTAAAAAACTCGGTGCTAAATTTGTTATCATGATTATCTTAAAGTTCTGACGAAACTTTTCCAAAGTTTTGAAAATTTAAGTTTTAATTGGTCATAGGAATGAAAACAAAAATATGATAAACTATGATGACCTCAAACACACTATTCTGTCACAAAGGAACAATATGATTGCTCTATTCTATTGTATATTGATTGTTATGTCACAATATCGTTTAAGAATGTAAACTGTTGTAGATTGGGAGTATTTCGATGTTTTGACTTTAATTTTTTCTGGGAGGTCTAGGAACAGAAAGGATATTTTGAGATTTCCAAGACAGAGGGATAATTGTTAAAATTTTGACGTATTTCAATATAAAGTTAAAGAAGGGAAAATCAAGATATACTTTTTACCCATTTTCTCATAACTGCTTTATCAAGTTTAGCCCGTTTGGGTGGAAGCCCGATTATTATTACAGTACAAGTTCAACGACGACAATATAACATGCAAACGACCGGTTGGAATCACTACTATGACGGAACAATATCTCAACCGTGACGTAGAAGACAACTTTGTCGGCGGAAACCGATTTGAAAATACTTGGCAAAGACAATCCTATCACGAACACGTGTCGTTTTTGTGAATTGTGATGAAATAATTCTCAAACTGTGATGTAACAATATACATTTAAGTGTGACATAACAATCGAATTTCAATTTCAATGTTATCACAATTTACTTATCTTAACACCTGTGAGGCGAGAATTGAAATGACTTTATCAGCCATGAGCCTTATATAATATCAATGGCCACACCTGAGGTGAATACTCTAACATAATTTTTGAGCAAAATAACATGATGTAATTGTCAAAATATTACGATTTGACATTAAAAATCGTGTAAAACACGATAAAAGCACTAAAAAATCGCAAATTTCCGAGGAAGATAACAAGCTACGGATCATCAGAATATAAATCGCACCGCCCGGAACTATTTTCGACAAAAAAATCTAATATTTTCTCTTTTATTTTAAAAAAACAATATTTATTTGACAACAAAAACTGTTACCCGGTTTTCGCACCTGTCTTAGCAGGTGGGCAATGCTTATTTATATCCATGGGTGATTTGGGACAGTTTTATGAGTATTTGCCCCATTATTTAGGTCTATTGGTAAAGTTAAATGACCCGAAATCTAAGAGTATCTGATGACAAAGCGCGGAAAACGAACAATCAACATAATAATAAATGCATTGTCACGTCATAAACGATGTGGTAAATAATAACTTTGATTTTTTTGTAATTGTTTACGCTTGGATAATTTTTTTCAGTTGAAAATTTAAATAAAAATGTGATCAAAAGTTTTCCCGCGGTCAATTAAAATTTTTCTACAAACTTTTATTTCGTCATAATGAAAATATTTAAAAGTAAACAACGACAATTACTGAAGTAAATTGCCCGCGAATGGAACAAATACAAAATAATAATTTCCGAAACCTCTTCAAAATAGGTCAAGTTTCACAAAATCTTGACCTTATACATCCTGGATGTCTTTTTAACTCGCATATGTAGTCGGTATTGGATTTTACAATGAAAGTTTTTGTTAATGATTATATCTAAGACTATTTTCTCGAAAATAGCATCCTTTTTCGTTTTATATTTAATATACAGTAGGTCATATAACAGTAAAATACAGAAAATGGAATACGAAATTACAAAAAAAATTAAATGACCTGGTAATATTCCAATTTTCTACGTCATATTCAATAAAGTATTTCTATGCTTATATGGAAATTTTTAAGAGATCTTTCTCAAAGAACTCCGAATTAATTGACGGAGACTCTTCTCTGAACAAATATATGGCGACCTATATAAACGAGTATGTAGGTGCATTTCCTGTATGTTTTTTAATTTTTTTCACACCCAAATACCTCGAATAAATCTAAATATTGTTTATAAATTGAAGCAAACGAAGCGTAACGAAACGCTCAATTTAGGCGGGGAAAATCACATTCTCAATTCTGACGAAACAATGCGAGACTAATGGAATGGGATTATATTGTTTAGAGATAGAGTCATGGACAAATATATATAATTTAATTTCAAATCACCAAATTCCGAACATCCCAATCTATCACTGAATCCTAAGCTAAGTGCTGGAAATGAATTAAAGCATATTCATATGATACATGTATGTATCCTTGCTAAAAATAAGATACAAAAAATGTCTGCGCTGCCCAAAAATTGTCATTCATTCATTTTTCATACGAGTAGATAAATCACTTACTTCTCTGGCAGTATTGTCCATCAAAACCACGATCACAGTCGCATTTGTACTTGTTGCCATGGAGACTCACGCAGTTGCCATGTGAACCGCATATTCCTGATTCTAATATTTTGACGTCATCACTGTTGTTACTGGTAACGCGGATTCGACAGCTGTCAATTACTATAAAAAGATATATGCAAATTAGTAAGAAGGCCATTTTTAATATCTTTGCTCAAAGAAAATACATTCAATTAAAAATGAAAAGAACACTGTCAGAACAAAAACCAATAAATTTGGTTACTTCAACGAAAATGGAGAATATATAATATTCAAAGTTTTGCTTGTGGATGGTTGAGCCCTTTTTGATGACTAAAAGTTAAGTCAACCATAATTAACAATTAACATAATTCAACTATTATGTATGTCTGAAGAAGTCTGACCTTGGTGAGACGAAACGTTACAAAAATATATTTGTGTTATTGTGCAGCAAGACTCTTGAATCACTTAGGATTGTTATCTCTACTCTTGCTACAGCATCCTTGCAATATATGCATACGGATCCACCGGCACAAAAGCATAGAAGAAGGATAAGTAGTTAGTCTCGCAGAAACCAAATAATCAGCGCTAGTAAAATTAACATTGAATTCAACAAACCTTCACAAATCCCAGTTTCACAATGATCTCTGAGTTGAGAGCAATTTTTTCCGATGTATTTATCGCTGCAGTTACAGTAATAATCGTTGTTCAAGTTGAAGCATTGAGCACCATTGGAACATGGGTTAGGTTCACAGTATCCTTCTTCAAGCTGTGACGTCATCAAGGTGACGAAATAAATAAAGTTGAATGTTACTATGACGTCAAATAAATTTATTCAAGAAGTTGAAACTCAAATAATAATGAAATTATTTTCAAACAATAGCTATTTATGACGTCATCAATATTGACAAATACAATAGTGCAAGTGGGATTGCACATTGAAATAAGCAGATGCAATTCATCGAAGTCAAAGCGTCTGGAGGCGACCACAAAATAGACGAAATGATAAAAAAAACTATTATTTTTAGAAAATAACCGCCCAATTATATATTAATGTGACAACTGGCATGCGTCTGGTGGAAACGAGACTTTCGCTAATGGCCTATTAAATATTTAGGTAGAGAATGACATTTGGAAAAAGTATTTAGACTTGTAGACAAAGTAACAATTGTATACTAATATGGTATTGTTTTAAGAGAGTGTCTTTCATTTTCAGAGGCCGTAGGAATGACCCTTTGCAAAAACTTATTCTAAATAGTTGTGTGAGTTTAAATTCTCGGGAATTATAGATAGAAAAATAGTAATTTCGAAATAATACATTTTCGAATATAAATAACTTGAAATGTTGATAAAAATTGCAAAATTCTATGAGTACCATTAGCGCAATTTTAAAATTGAATAAAACAATTTCAAATTCTCGAATTTAAATAATATAGAATATTTGGCATTACAGTGAAATCATAAATTGAAGCACTGGGCGCCATTGGAACATGGGTTAGGTTCCCAGTACCCTCAAGCTGTGACGTCATCAAGATGATGGGGTGCCGACATTCAGGCCAAACACACAAAAGGTTCAAAAATAATTGCAATTTGCAAATTTGCACATGCAGAATATGTTTCAAATATCGTTCAAAAGAATTTTCCCTCTTTCTCCCCACAAGGGGGAACAAATGATTGCAATCTCGAATTTACAATGATAGAATAATCGTTCAAAATACCAGAACTTTTGCATCCCATCACACCGGTTCAAAAAATGATTTCAATTTGAAATTTTAATTTTCTTTCTTTATCTCGAATTTCTATCGCATGACATTGTCAGTCAGAAATAAATAATGCATCGAAAAAGGAACGTTTTTGTTCGCAAAAAATTTATACAACAACAAATTTGGGGCAAGGATGAAATTTGCTAATATTCAACGGCCTAAGCATGAACCGAAGTTGTGTAAAAACGAAATTAAAAGTTGTTTTTTCTTGGCATTTTATTTATTTATGATCTCCCTGCAGACAAGATCGCTTATTAGTGTTTTATACCAAGTCTGCAAACCTGTATTTTGCAGCTGTTTAAATGGAAGAAATTTTGAGAAAATTTGGTGCAAGCGTGCTGTTATGCAGCACCATTTTTGCATTTGATGTTTTTGAAGTTATTACCAGTGCTAGGCATTTCGAATCTGATATTCGAATCGGATAGTAAATTATTCGAATCGGTTCAGACGGGAATTTCGCATCGTCGCCATCTTGTTTTTGTCCGTCTGCAGGTCGAGATGAATTCCTCATTTTTATTATTCATGTCAAATTTTTAAAATCCAATTCTAACATATGACTTTTTTTTTCCTAGTGAGGTATTAATGAAAAATGTTTCTTACTGTGTGTGAACACTCATCGAACTGTCTGAGTGATAGATGCTTTCACTAATTTATGTGCTAACTATATAGAAACATGATGAAGCATTAGGCGCAAAACTGTAAATTGTATGAGATTGATATCAAAATTTATTTGTTCACCCATACCTCGCATCGTCTTCCAGAGTATCCAGCTGGGCATATGCAGTGGTATCCGTTAATCTGGTCAATGCATTGGCCGCCATGTAAACACGGATCACCTGCACAATCGTTGATGTTGATCTCACATTTTTCACCTTTGAACCCGGAAGCGCAATCACATTGGAAACCGTTCACAAGATCCTGAGAGAGAGCAAGAAATAAATTTTACACGAAATGCAAAAAACGAAACTTCGATACAAGAACTAAGCTAGCTTGTCCATAGCCTTTTTCCGAGTGCAAATTATGAAAAAATTTCATTAAGCAAAACAAAAAACGATATTAAGGTATAATTTTCATTTTTAAGATGCAATTATTTTTTAAGGCAATATCATGCAATCAGTCAGAAATAATGGGGACTCATCTCTCAGATATGATACTTGAAATTTCCCAGTAATTTTACTGCCATTTATTCACAGTATTTTATAAAGGTTATATTAAATACCAATGGCTTATGGATACACTTTGAAGTCAATCATGATATAGTCACACGGAAGATAATAACAGGTTGCGCGACTCGAAACTATGTAATTGCCAAAAATTGTATTCAATGTCCTAGACGTCTATTATTATTACAAAATTACCTTTATATGAATATTAATGAGTTATTATTTCTTTCTATTTTTATTTCGCAATTTTTCTGGAATTTTTCGGAACAATGTCTCTAGAAACCACCCAAATGGATGATATCCTTACACGGTACAGCGTTAAATACAACCATACCGGTACCGTAAGGATTCAAACCCCGTTTTTTTGTGTTTAAATTCGTTTATGTGATAGATTTCTGTTGTCGAATGTCACGGTTTTTAGGAGAAAATTTAGATGCAAAAAACTTTCTCACACTTTTTATTTATAATTTCACTCAAAAACATATAATTATGGTTTTGCAATAAAATATTTACAAGACAATTCGACAATTTCAGCCTGTTTCAAATCGAAATCTAACACCTTAAATAGAAAGAAAATAATTTTTTTTCACAATCCACGTTTTTTTAATGAAAAAATCCTTCTATTTTAATTTAATCGTACCGGTAAAAGTTAATTGCAAATTTGAGCGCTAATTAAAACACAAAACTAGACTAAAATTTATGTTTTCTTTAATTGGTATTTAATCACAGTCACAGGCGTGAGAAAACTACACTTTTCGACACAAATTACATCTTTCCCGCGCAACTAACAATAAATTACTGTGACGTCACAATGGTTGTGTAGTAAAGACGGGAATTTAGATGATCGCATATCCCGCTTATTTCTTAATCGTGTTACAACTTTGCGCAGATGTTAACATCTAATATTTGGTAATTAATCTATTAATTGTCGTTCGAACAAAGTGCGATTCCAACCGAATTGCCCGTTTTAGCCCAAAAATCGTTATTACTAGCTTAACAAGTTACAGGATTGATTCGCAATAGATTCGCAAAATTCGCGGTAACTGAAGCGATGTTTCAAATTTACTACAAAAAAACAAGACCTCTGACAAGAAGACCCTTAGCGCGAATGGTTTTGAGTCATATTGCTGATGAGGAAATATTTAGATTAAACTTACCATATATCAGAGGGTAAAAGGGGATGAAACCAAAGTGGACCTTTGGCGAGAAAACTTCAAGGAATTTTTTAGTCCTATTGATAGTAGGTAAATGGGATTCAACATCTATATATTACTTATATACACAAACGCTTCTTCGCGGCATCCGCTCCGAACAAGACCCTATACAAGCGAACGAAGTTATATAAAATTTTAGAAAAGCGGTTGAAATAAGCATACGATTCCGTCCGTACTCACGGCAATTTTTGATCACTTATGATTCGATTCTCAAGACACCAAAATAGTAAAACGACTCTAATGACTAAATATCTCTCTTCCTTATAATATTTTCTTTCAAATGATGGCTAATGGGCAATAAATTCATCACATGTTAATTGTTCATCTGTCTTAGACTAGGTTAAGTGTCTGGGTTCCGATACTGTTATCTTAAGTTGGAATTTGATGCTTTTTGTTTCGTTTATGACTAATAATGGTGGTATCTCCAACCCTTTATTACGTAATAATTAATTGACCAGTTACCGCCAAAACTATTTGACACTATGACCGAATAATAAATATTGATAATTTGGATAAATCATGCTTAAAACGTAGATATATAATCGATTTATCACTGGCAAACGCATGGCCATCCTTTTCGTTAAAAAGCACATTCGTGTTGTTTATAATATACATGAATTCGTGCATATATAAGACTACTCGAGGTAAATTTAGCGAAACAAGCTTACTTTTAATGTGTTTACTTAAAACTTTTGGGAGATTAAAGAGAAAATTGCTACTTTTAAGTTATTTAATTTGAAAACATTACAATTTTTGCATATTCCAAATTTTTTTGTGTGTTAATTATTTCTAATTTCTCATACCACATATAAAAAAGGTATGAATTTGTCGAAGTAAAATGGAATTCACTTTCGTCATATTCATTTTTTTGGATGTTATTTCCAAATATTACATCAAATATAAAAAATGAATGAATTTATCGTTTTTTTCAGAAAATTCAAAATTTTTATGAAAAATGGAATTTACTTTTGTCTGGTGGTAACAACATATCGTTTCTCACAATTATTACACAATGACGCGCAAAAATCTCAAGTGCCTTTTGATATACATAGTTTTATCGTTCTATCAAATGTTACACCAACATTTCGGGATCTTAAATGTCCTTATGTGTGTTATATTTGTCTAGAAATGTTATCACAAGTCGGACAGGTCCTTTGAAGAAATATCCTACGCGAACGAAACGATAAATTTCACGTTACACGGAACGATGCATCAACACATATCATAACAATGAAACAAAGTGATTCCAATCACCTTTGTTTTCAAATAACAGATGGTAATGGGTATTTTGACGCAATATTTAAAACAAAACATAACATTCTTTTACGTACACGAAACGATTTATTCTAATTGTTATTTGAAAATAAACAAAAAGAATACAATTATGACGAAATAATTCAAAGAAAAGTTTTGTTCTGCGCGACCGACACGTTGTTTGAAACAAATATTAAACGAAACAATATATTTTAATGGTTATTGAATAAAACAAAAACAAAAAATAATCATGATGCTTAATTCAAAAGATAAAACTGTTTACGCGACCTAAACAAAGTTTATTGGACATTGCGACATAACAAAACATAATATTCTTCTTTGCCCACAAAACGATATATTTTTAATTATTATTTGATAAAAAACAAAAAAAAATACAATTGTGATGAAATAATACGATGAAATTCTACGCTACCGAAATGGTGTTTATGGAATATTGTGACATAACAAAAACAAGTGAGCATTTCCGACGTAAACGAAACAACAAAATATTTTTGAAGAAGCGCCGACGCGAACGAAACGAAGACAAATCACCCCGAGTGTTCTCAAGCACTCGTATAGACTTGTTATAGACGCCGCATAGACTGTTTCATTTGGGGTACACCTCGTGGGATTTTATATGGACTTAACCCTTTACCGATTGTGTTACTTATGGCCACATCTCCGACTCAAAAATACAATTAATTTTAAAACAATTTAATAATGAGAACATAATTTTTAATATCCGAACGCGTTATGTATGACTCTTAGTTAGGAGTTACAACTCAAATATTTATTATATTTTGAATGAATCTTGAAATTATTTGAAAATGAAACTTAACTTTTTGATATTCAAAGCGATAGAATAAAGCCTACACGCTTAGAATACCAACAGTACTAATACCAAACTCAAAATACCGCCTCATTTTTTTCGATGAAATTCGAAGTTTAAATATTGAAAAAACGTAATTTTTTGACATTCGAATCGGACTGAATTATTAAAGTTAGAAATCAGATTTAGCCAGCTATCACACTTACATTCAATTTAGATTCATTTTAAAATCATACCACCATGAATATGATTATTTTCTATTGCGGCGTAGAGGGTTAATCCTACCAAGACCCGAAATGATTCACTATATCTCACGTTAAAGATAAGAGCCGAGATTAATGCGATCGTACTTCGATTCTAGTTTATCATAAACCATGTCCACCTGCCCAATGTAAACATGAAGTGGGCACTCGAAGATTTACTGGGTATTAAAGTTGCGATGTCCATTTTGAAATCAGGCCGGTGCAGGGATGTTCATTACGAACCGAATATTCGAATACATACAAATAGTTTAAGGAAAATTTAAAATAATTTTAATAGAAAATTTCACATTATGAGCAAGCATTTTGTATATGCAATGCCGATTATGGAATTGGACCGGTGCAGGGATGTTCATTACGAACCGAATATTCGAATACATACAAATATAGGGTTATAGGAAAAACTTGAGCAAGCATTTTGTATATGCAATGCCGATTATGGAATTGGACCGGTGCAGGGATGTCTATTACGAACCGAATATTCGAATACATACAAATATAGGATTTTAGGGAAAACTTAGAATAAATTTAATTGAAAATTTTACATAATGAGTGAGAATTTCATGTATCCGATGATCAGACAAAAATAGACTTTATTTAAACTCTTACGCTTTGCCCTGTTTATATTTGTTTAGGTTAGGGCCAATTTCATGGCCAGTGCAAAAATTTTTGAAGGGGACCAAATTTTTTGTATAATGACGTAATACGACTGGTGGCTTTTGTTCCGAACAACAAGGATAGATTAAAGCAGCCACCGCCCCTGCAACGACCCAAGTCACCATTTATCTAAAGACTTTATACCTCCAATCATTGCAATGGAATGATGAGATGTCAGTGAGACTTAACTCAGTAATTGACTCGTCATCGAAATTAGACTCGACCTGATTCGAGATGAAATACAATCAGAATCCAACATGTAAAAATCAGACTCGTATATACCAAAAATTTGTTATAATAATTTTAAATAAATAAAGTTTCACTGGTTTATAAAAAAATCTTATTTTTCATTGGCCCGTGCACACACACCTCTTGTGACGGCGAGTCACGTATGCGCACTTATACCAGACATCGAGCCTTTTAAAAATGGTCAATCATACTCAATGTGTAATGGGCAGCTCTGGCCAACATCTTTGAAGAAGTACTTGAATTTTTAAAATCATCATTTATTGTTACAGCATAATACATAATAACAGGTCATAAATGTGATGTAATAATGAGACGCTTTCCTAACGAAATTACATCAAAAACGCAACTCCTTATATGGGTAAAATATTCGCCAAAAATACATTTTTCAAATAAAAATTATAAAAATAAGAAGTCTGTTTAAATTTTACTGAATATGATATATTATACTGGTATAGGTATTGAAAAAATTCCATGTATTTGTGGAAAACTTCGCGGGGGTAGCGATACTATATACATATTTTATTAATAGAAAGAATATTAAATTTCTGGCGTAGGTAGAGGCCAGTTAACCCTTTTTATAACTCAAGCATTTGATTTGAAGAAGAAAAAAAGAAAAAACGGGTCAATATTTCGTGCGCATTGTGACATCAAAAAGGGTACTTGAGACTTTATGATGTAACTATGTATCCCACGGTAAATAGTCGACTAATACTTACGCAAACGAAACGATATCCTTTCAAAAATTTATTTTGGCGCTAAAATTTCACATTTTCTTAGCAGGTGGTGACAAATTGTGACATTATAATGATAAAAATTTATTTGTTTAGTCGCCGAAGCGGATTTTGTGTGAATTTGAACAAAAATATGAAATTTGTTTCCCTTTGTTCTCGAGAGCTAAAAACAACATGGATATCAAAGTAGAATTACTTTATATCAACCATTAAAGCGATCAAACAAAGATAAAACACAATAGAAGGATATTTTATGGGAATCCATTCGAAAATAACTGCTATGTACAGAGAAAATTTCTCATGTTCAAGTCTACACGATTTTGTTGGAAAAGGCAAAAAAAGATTTTATGCACAGCACAAGTACATATGTGATGTTACTTGTTGACCAAATATACAATATATTCAATTCTTTCTAAAAAGATTAGATACAGAAAATCGTTGATGTAAAATTTATGATGTTCAATTTTATGTCCGTGTATATGGTTTTATTACGTTATTTTGGCAACGGTAGCCAAAATTTAGCGAATTAAAAACACATCTTATTCTTTGGTGAAAATGACCCAATTTAAAATATTTTATTCGTAAAAGTAGACTTAACTCACCATGCAAGTTGCTCCATTCCTGCATTGACCATGACAATCGTTTGTATCTAAAAAATGAAAGAAATGAGAGTGTGTTTTACTGTTGTTTGTCAGTTAATGATCTGTTTGGAGAAAACAAGGGACCCAGGATCACAGCACTGCACATATTAAATTTAACAGCAGATTTATTTTATCAGAAATTTTTTAATACCCCCCTGAATTGTACTAACCTCTATCTACTGATATATTTGGCACAAGAATAGACTTACTGCGTAGCTTCTAGTGAAACAGTGATAGCTTTTACAATGCTCTTTTTGATCTTAGTATAGCTCTCGAGTCCTTACTTTGAGGCTAACTTGTACAAAAATGCGCAATTTAATCACATTTTTCGAGTTAAAACAAAAAAAATTCACAAAAATTTTCTCACTTGTATCGCAGTTGGTTCCCTCCCATCCTGCCTCACACACACAATGATAATGTCCTGGTAAATTATGGCAAGATACTGCATGTACACACGGGCTGTCCTTGCATTCATCCGCATCTGAAATAAGAATAATTACGTCACTAACTGATGACGTCACTATGTCACAATTTAAAATCAATTTTAATATAATTTGAAAATTAACAATTTTGTAACATCCATTATCTAAATATGCATTATGACGTCACTAATTATTCGCGATGTCATAATCAATTCCAAACTAACGAGATAATCATACCATTGTTTGAGAGTTCTAAATCATTGTAATGTAATAATTGAAGGATAGGTCATTGAAGAAAAACTTAAAAATAATTAAAACTGAAATCGAGACAAAATAATAACACCCTGACAAGACGGGAATTAGTGACGAACACTGGAGTGCAAGTAAGATTTCTATGTAAGATGACTATATAATTAAATACGGTTGAATTTAGTTAAATGCTATAAGTTGAATCTGTAAACTCCAATGTCATATACAATTATACATCCTATGCACGGTCTAGAAATATACCATTCGACATAAGATGAATTGCCAGTGATACTAGTGCACCAGTAATACTTTGCTATATACCCGGGGATTCAAGTCGATACAACTATGGCCATATAGGATAAAATAGTATGCAATTAATTGTATTAGCAGGTAATAGAATGTTGGATTAAAAAAGAAGCGCTAACGCGAGCCTACTTTCATACTATAGATTTAATGTTATATATAAAATAACATGCTCCGTACACATGTTAGTATCTTTTCTAGAAACAAGAATAATTGCAGTAATTTCGTCAAAAACAACACTAATTATTATTTTAGAATAATGTTATTTTAGTGTGATCTATTGTTCATTGTCACACGTCATAAATGGAAAACAGCAACTCATTATCTGTTATCTGTAACATAGGATACAACTGTTAAAAATGTAGATTTTTTTTTCGTTTTTATTTTTTACACCCCCCCCCCCCCCTCCGCACACACACACACACACACACAAAAAAAAATGCGGGATTCAATCTACCAAGAAACATATGTTATAGATAGCGCACTTACAAATAAATAACGGAAAAATTAAATTTTTCAAGGACTCTTCTTCATGGACTTGAGTTTTAATAAATTTATAAACGGCACGTGTCACGTGGTCTGTGTAAATATGACCTTGAAACTTTTTGAAGGTCAAGAAAGCCTTTAAATATAATGACTTCCGAAAATAACGTCGAAAACTCGATATTTTATTAATAAAACAAGTTCATGTATCATTATTATATCGTTGTAAATTATTTCTTTTAAATCAAAACAAAATACTGAAGTATTGTGACGTCACATTCAAATGCCATTTCCGTTTTTTTTTATCTAAAACAGAATTTTGAAATTCCAAATTCCAAACAAATATTATTGCGTTACATTTATAGAACGGATAAATGAGTCGTCAAAATAAATTGTTCAATTATGACGCAACAAATAAACTTTTATTATGTCACAATCAAATTATTTTTATATGGGAAATCGCGCCAATTTGTAGAAATACCAAACTTTTTGGAGCCATTTAAGCTTGTATTACAATACATAAATCCAGTAAATGATAGGGTGTAAGCTTAGAGGGGTCATTACCCCGTCTAGTCATATTACCCCACGGTTTACCCCAAATTGCTCAATTAAGTTGGGTGTACCCGCGTGTTGCAAAATTCATCGATAAGAAAAGTGGGGTAAAGTAAAAAAAACTCAAATATTAATGGAATAAAAATGTAATTTAACGAAAATTGTACATATATAACAAATTTTTTATCGATATATAGACAGCACAAACATAGTTACATTCTTTTGCGCAACGGAGTAGAAAGTTAACACTGAAAACGGTGTATTTTACTGTTTTTTTTCAACACTGAGACACTGGGGCGAGTTTGCAAAAAAATTTGAAGAGGAATTCGGTAACTTATTCACTTCTCAGTAAACGGACGCCGTTTGAGTGTTTCCAAAATACAAACACAATGGCAATTTAACACGGAATACCTTCCCTGGTAACGATTATAAACGCTTTCTGACGACAATTTGTAACAAACACCATTCTCTTAATTTCTCTTTGAAATTCTTTGGGGTTTTCATTTGTGTCACCCAAAACAAGGTTGCAAGTCATTACCCATTAGGGTTAGTGCAAGGTTACTCAAACAGACTGATCACGATTTGTTTAATTCTTTGGACGTAATGGATTTATTATTTTGAAGAAAAAAAGAGCTAAAAGTCTTTGGTCGCGCACCATAAAAGTTTGAGAACCACAGTGCATTTAGCGGGAATCACAAATTCTACAAAAATCTTTCGTTTGAGGCTCACTCTCGCCACTCTATTTGCCAAAATTTTTATATCCATGCTGACCAAAACATATTGTCAATCCAATTTCCCTATAAACACTTTGCTTTAAATTTTTGTGCTTTGAAATATTTGAGATTCAATTAAAAGCCATAGAAAAAAATTAGAATATCATGAAGAGGTAACATTTCTTTTCAGTTTACAAAGAGAAAAAATGATTAATGAACCATATCAGACAGAATATTTATGCGTCGAACATTAGCGAATATTGCTGCCAATCTTGTAGGAAATAAAACACTAATTGAAATTTAATGTTTGGTTTTTGAAACTTAAAAGGACGAACTTGGATCGGATGGCGATTAAAATTTAAAACAAGATATTTAATGTAAAATAATTAGCTTATCGAGTTACGAAAAAAACCTGTTGCTTTTATGTAGTACCTCAAAGATGTCCCTCTTTCAAGCACACTTGTTTTACTTTGTCTCACATTTTCACGCTTAAGTAAATTAAAAACGAATCATCTTTAAATGCAATTTGTCATTTTAAATTAGGGTCGTATCGAATTCTCTAAGTTTTATAAATTTTATTCCTTTATATTTGTCATTCATACGACTTTCATCCGAAAAAAGCTATTTTTGGAAATTACCATAATCTTTCGGGTTAAAAATTAAATACTCCATTCATCATACTCTGAACCAAATGGCGGGTAAGGGCGAAACCAGGAATTTTCAAAGAGGGAGGGGGATTTCTGAAATTTCAAAGTCGTGAGGGTCTAAAGAGCGTTCCAATTCACGAAAAATCTATGTATGACACGAAAAAATGCATTTTTACATTTCAACTTTCCATGGCTGACCTCTGATGGCGGGCATGGGATTTGAACTCTACATATTAACCAGCAATGCTATCATTACGCCCAACGCTTTAACCACTTGGCCACAGCGCATTATCTTATTTGAGAAAAACAAACAGTGAAACAAAGATATCAATTCTATTATATATACATATAGTATGTAGAACTTTTTGTATCGCCACAAACTTCCTTTGCCAATCTCCAATTTCGTTGAATAATTAGCTCGGATTTGGGGTTGGAAATTATAGGTTAAGATTTGACCTTGGGAACGGTAGTGAAGGTCATTAACAACTGTCTGATTTTTAGTAAGAAGACTAAACATAGGGTTGGGTTACATTGTAAAATAGGGCAGTATATTATCCATAAACGGCCTATATTGGGGTTTATTATTTACAAAAGTTCTCAGAGTGAGAGAAGAATTCAAAAAAATTACTTGCTACAATAGACACTTGAGTAAAATGAATCCCAGGCCAATAAGGCGCAATGAGTTGGTGTTCAGAGCATTGGAACTAACTATGATGGTATCTCAGATTAAGGATTTCAAGAACGATATCTATAAAAACGTTCTTAGTGGAGGAGAACAAAAATGACTTGACGGCTTGAAGGGTGTGTGTACCAATATGAAGGTAACTAATTTTGTTCGCCTACTTTTACATCAAGTTGTGTAAAGAGACTGAAACCTATGGGCAGGGGGTTCACTTAGCAGACAGTCCCCAAACTCGTAATAGAACTAAAATAAGGAAAATCGGAATAAAATCATTCCATAACCATAACCTGGTACACACACTACGGAGTACCGACTTGACTGCTACAATAGCCATAATGCCAAACTACTCCACACAAAGCCCTGTAAAGTAGACACTAATACAATTTTGTGGAATATTGATTGAAAATACAGATATTCAAGCAATAAAGCAGGCAGAGAACAGAAATTTTTTATTGACTTTTAAATTCCAATGCGTTGGAGACTTCAAAAAAATGCCATAATATATTATTGGCATATAACGACTACAGCGACTATACGTTTTTTACTTTGGAAATGTTTTGCTCATCAAATTTTTTAATAATTCTTTGTAACTCACCGAGTTGGCAAGTCGAACCTTCCCAATGCGGAGGACATTCACAATGAAAACCGTTCACCAGATCATGACAAACTCCTCCGTGAGCACAAGGCGAGAATTCACAATCGTCGATGTCTGAAAAGAATATAATTGGTTACAAGGCGGAAGCGGAAGTCGTGATGACCTTCTGGGTATAGTACTGTGCATAACTGTGAATATCCTTGTACTAAACGCGTGAACTTGATAGTGTATAAGAGCGCTTAGGTGAGCCACCCTGTGGGCACCCCAATCAATCAATATACCTAAAAAACGCCGGCAACATTGCGCTTTCCCTGTTTAGAACAGGATTTGCCATAGCGACCGACACAGTCGTTGAAACTCATATGGGAATGCCGGCGAACATTGTTGACTATTGCAGAAAAAATCTGGCATCACTCCAACATCCTTGCCAAACCACATGAGAAGATTAGACTGACGTCGAGCTATTCGTTATGAACCTTTTCTGTTTCACATACAGAGTGTCCCGACAATTTTGCCCGATTTTATAGTAATTGTAAGTTAAGTAAATTCAATTGTATGATAAATGAGAACGACAGGCATATCCTCTATGGGTGAGGCAATGGTGAAGGCAATAGACCAAGATTCAAACCTGTGACCTCTAACGCACGATAACATATCCAACGATATAACCACAGAGACACGAAGTTAAGCCATTTCACTAAATTTCTTCCACAGTGATAATGAATTTAATATTGGGAAGGGTGGCGACAGTACAAACGTTGAACTTCTATTAACGCTTTACTATTAGAGTTCAATTTCTATCAGATTGTGAAATTATTTATTAGCAATAAAGGCAGTCGAATATATTCGTATATTCAATTTTAAACCGTTTGTTGGTAAAGCAAATCAGAACCCACAAAAAAGCTGTTAAAAATTGAGTTAACTTGCGTGCTATTTATGTGTTATTGTACCCGTATTTCTTGTGTATTTTACATATTACATATCATAGTCGGGATATCAAATTACGTTGACGACTTTTCCCGCGTTCCCAGGAGTATTCCTTACATTGATTATTTCGTCACAATCTCGTGCGTGAAATTTTGCTTATGAAATCACAATTAATTAATCAGAACAATAAGATTTAATTTAAGAAAATGGAATTAGTGCATTACTCACACATACTCGTAAGGTTATAAGGAAAAACAACCTGATTATACCCTAGGTAAAGAAGGAACGAAAAGCGAGAAAATCACCACTTTCAAAGTACTGAATTAGATGTTTTTGACAAATAAAAAGTTATAAATGTAATAAAATTACTAGACTTCTAAGGTAACTCCGTTTGTGCATATTGGCGTTTGTTTAATTTTTCTAAAAACGATGCAAGTCTAGTTTACAGTGTTTCTTAGGTATTGAATATTAATTGGTATGAATTCGTAAAACTACATACTAAACGGTAGTACCCTTTGTACAATGTAACTATGTATTTACCGCATTATGGCTGAACAGGCCATAGACAATCAGTTCACTCAGACTAGAGAACTATATCCTATGACTCATATATCCTGATAAAGAAACGTTTTAAAATTCCCAAAACTCGAAGTCACAAATCCGTTTCGAAAAGCAATCAAACAACAGTCAAGTACATAACTTTCTCACGATAAAACTATTGTTACGAAACAATAGACAAGGACACTCATGTCGCTCAATATTTCTCACATTTGGTTGACCTTGGACTGACCTTGGGTTTATGATATGTCCTTGAAAATCTCTAGAAGGCCTCTATTTTGCCCTTAATTATTGAAAAATAAGCGGAATGGTCGGGACAAATACGAATGGCTCTTCATAATGCCATAAAAACCTATTTTAATTAAACACTTCAAAATAAAAATACCCGATCCCCATATGTTTTCGCAGACACTGAAAACGTTGGTATAGCTACATAGTTTGGCTTATTACCATTTGTGTACGTTATGTTCGACATAGTGCACAGTTTTCTACTTTTTTAACCCCCCAAAAAACTTATTTTAGGCCCCCAAAATAAAAAAAATAACATAAATGTCTTAGTATTCGTATTGAGTATATATTTAAATATGCAAAAATTTTCCCAGCAGCAATTCTATTCGTCCGAAAACTTGATTCGATTCTATAAAAATATGCGACGTTATATATTGAAGTTTAAATAATGTGGCATCTACTTGAAGACACACGGAACCCCACACAGAAAGTCATAGACAGTTTATTTTAAAACGACACCATGTCCTTGAACTTGACCTTCAAGCTACATTTCAAGGTCAAGCACTTGTAAACTAACATATTATATTAGTTGAATGAGAGAATAAGTAAAATAAGCTATCTGGAGCTATCAATTTTAGGCCGAAATGAGAATTTCAGTATTTTTTATTCTGAAATTAAATTTTGGCCTCAAATAGGTATTTTATGTGATTTTTTATCATTATTTTCCACTGAAATAAGAACAGTGAAATATGATTTGCAATTATTCCGACACGGTTGGGTAATATTAGGTCACGTGACCCTAGAATTCCAATAAAATGTCTTCAACATATTTTGCAGATGCTTTCGCGAGTTATTAAACCCACATATTGTCATTATTCCGTCATAGAATACCCATTGTTTATCATTTCGAATGAAAACATTTTCAGTAACCGTGACGACCGTTATGCATGAGTGCAAAGGGAAAGAACACCTTATACAGTGGTGAAAGACAAAGTTTTTAAAAAAAAAAATGTGCTTAGACATTATATCAGATCATGAATGGCCTGGCAAAAACTATAAAAAAATCCCAATACCACTATATGCATAAATGAGTACGCGTCTTTTGCGATAAGTCCTTTGCGATTTTCCACACTATATGCAGCAGTATAATAGTTCTTTACAGAGCGTCTATTCTATTGTCGATTGGGACTATATATCCACCCTTATTCAAAACCTGCTGTCTATGCGGCAGTCCAATATCCGTCTATGGAGAAGAACTTTGAAAAGGCGATTGGGACCATATATATCCATCCCTTTTTCAAGTCGGCTGTCTATAATGCAGTCTAATAGACATTTACAAGGGAGGCCATTTAAATGATGATCGGGACTATACATCCATTCCTGTTCCAAACCCGCTGTATACAAGGCAGCCGGGGGGAGGGGAGGCTATTCAAACTGTTATATGGACTTATCGGGTATATCCACCCTTATACCTATATGAAAAAAAACTTTATCGTCCACCCTTCCCAGTCGTTTTACAATGAATAATGAGCTTGATAGCAACCCCGAAATAATTTTCTAAATAAGGGTAAATGAGATTGCGCCATCTCAACTTAACTTCAACGTTACCTGATCTTCAGCATTTCTCGTGAATTCACACGCACGACGGTTGTTTTTACCGCATACCATATCACCCGTGTTATCACGATCATTGCAAATCAAATATCGCCAAGAGGGTTGACTTTTTTATTGGAAGAAAGACAAAAATTTGGAGCACGAAATTTGAGTAAATTATTGTATTTGATATAAAAAGACCATTTTTGTGGTGAAAAAATGATTTTTTTGCGAAAAAATGAGCTAAAATTCGCCGAAAAGGCGAATTTGCCGCATGTGTATCGTGTAACATCACAATAAGTGAGTGAAGATTGAAATTTTTGCTATTTGTTGAAATTTACTTCATATGACCTTGAGAATTTATTTCAAGGTCAAACGTTTGACTTTTGGTCGAAGGCAGGTGTTAAAAATTTTGATGATGACATTTCAAAATATGATGTAAGGTTAGCACAATTTAACATATAACATGATCGTATACCATTTCTTGATAACACTTCAACATTTTCGAAAAAGTCAAAACTCGAACGACCCAATTTTCGAGGAAAAAATCCAAAATACGAAAGTTTCAAACCATATTTGGGAATACATATCGTTCTCCTGTGCAAACGAATAGGTCACAATTGTGTATTTGCCCTCAATGGGTCACCCATTCCAATTGTAAAAGGAAGGTCTGACAGAAAAATGAACTAAGAATTATTCAAGCAATTACATGTATCATTCGTGCGTGACGAAAAGCTTTCAAGCATGACTGAAACAAAATACTATGGTGATGAGATAGCATTTTAAATAAAAGTTGTGATATAGATAGCACAATCGAAAATAACAATATAATTTCGAATGATCTCTGTGGGGGACTATTGATTAGGCCGGTGGATGTACATATGCCAACAATCACCATTTAAATAACCTCTAAGGTGGACAGCTATTGAGGTGTCTAAAATACAGCAGGCTAGAAATAGGGGTGGATATCTTGTTCCAATCTCTATCTGAATGGCCTCCCCCAATATTGGGCCTCCATATATACAGTTAGTTAGTAATTGAGATGAATGTATGGCCCAAGTCGACATAAGAATAGTCTGCTATCCTACATTAAGGGATATTTGGCCAACATACAGGCAGCAGATTAAGAATAGGGATGGATATATCCAAATACCCATTTAAAAAGCCTTCATCTTCATAGCCTCCTTTGTGAAGGATATTGAGTTGTCATATAGACAGCAGGTTAAGAATAGGGATGGATATATGGTCACAATTATCATTTAAACGGCCGGTCCCCAAGTTGAGAGCTATTGATCTGTTGCACAGTCAGCAGGTTCGGAATTGGGATGGATATATCGTCCTAATCACAATTACAATAAGAAGCCTGCATAAGCAGACGAAACGTTAATACTATATTTGGTATTGATGTGTAGCAAGATTACTGAATCTTTTAAAATATTCCCATCCACGGCGCCTTTTAAGATCAACCACAAACCAGACTAGAAAGCCTATTTTCGATGCAGACAAGTTCAAAAAATTTCACGGGTGTCGAATTTCTTATAAATTACGTTAAAATGGTTGTTATTCCCCCCAAAAAACGTTTAAAAAGCGAAAATTGTGAGCAGAGATGAGATGACTGAAATAGGCGAAGTAATAATACATGAGATAGGGGAGAAATTATGGATGCCATTCCGCGCGGAAATGAATCTCTATTTTACCGCCTTCCAAACATGGATGAAACTTTAATCTATGATTTTATACCTCGTCATGGTTGATCTGTATATAATTTTTAAAAAATTCCAAGTTTACTCGCCCCGCATTGTTATGTCACAACATGAATAAATAATACATAGGAATGCACTCGACGAATTGTGATGTCATAATTTATTCATTTAAACCACACTGTCACGTAATAAACAAGATAACTTCAATCAAGAATTTCCCGTCACAGGTTCAAACCCCATGTCCACTATCTATAACTAGAATATAATACATTTGGTCGACAATTACAACTTCAGTAGTGTGCGTACGTACGTACCTTTCTACGTTGTTTACTTTCTGTTTTCCATGATAATTTGGCGTCGCATGAACAAAAACTTTGGGAACCGCTGAAATAAATAACAAATCAACTCACTTATTCTACAAGTATGTCCCGTCCATCCGGCAGGACAATCACAACGAAATCCGCCGGGTTCCTCTTCACAAACACCTCCATTGGCACAAGGATTAGAGACACACGCATATTCCGCTGTAAGAAAAGATGAAGAGTTTATTTATAGTAATAAGATGTAACATTCATTTCGATTACATGCTGAACCAACCTTTCCCAACTGGGGAGAAAAAAAAGACAAAGAAATTTATTTAAATTTAATGTGGACATGACATTCAAGTATAGAACACACAGGGAGTCTTGTTACATCCGCGTAAAATATCCCCAGAAAAAAGTCATTATGACACCATAATTTAAATACAGTATAAGATTGGGTATATATAGACGAATGCATTAAAAAAAGGTAAATAATAAAATTGCGAGCGTTCAAGATAGATAGTAATTTTTGCCGAACATTGTTATCTACCAATTCCGAATACCAAAAGCCATTTCTTACTCAGCATAAGTATTTAAAACCACATAAGTATTTAAAAAAACAATCAAAGATTTCATTGTATTTTCACATCCATTTTTGCCTAAGAATACATAATCACCGTAAGGCTTGAAAAATACCGATTTTCTGAAATTTTTTTGACAATTTCCAAAATCTTTGACTCGTTTTCTGACTATGAAAAATACAACTACAATATTACAGTATAATTTACATCATTTTTAACAGCATAACCACAAAGTGGAGTTACATTGGTTTAGTATATTTACGCTGTCAACGAGAAATCGTGTTTCCCACGAGTCTAAGAAGGATTAAATATGTATTATGTGAATTCGTGGACAATTTTTGGTGATTTCGCTATTGAGACTTTTAGCTTCGAAAGAATTTCAAAAATAAATCTACACAAAGTATTATGACGTCATTTCGATATTACGTCACTAAAACAAAATGGAGTGTAAATTATTCTATTATTTTATCTATTATTTCACCATACTATTATAAACAGAGTTCTGACTATGAATAATATGAAAGGATATGACGTCATACACATTGATGACGTCACCATATTGAATATATAAAAATCACTTAAACTCGCTTTGAGAGGGGGAACGAGATTTCCATTGTAATTACCGGTAATAATTATAATAAATGTATTGTACTTAAGATACAGTTTTATAATTTAAAGGGGGTTACTTTCCGAGTCTCCTCCTTTAAGCTTTTAGCACAAAAAATCGATTTTATTTGGACATGACAGTTGTGTCTCTGTATATGAACATAGAAAAATAAAATAAGTCTTACAAATAGGTTTTATTTATTGATACTTCAAGTTTTTCCGGATTTTGCTTGAATATGAAGGGATTACCGCAAATCTCCGTCCAATTTAATCACGTCTTAGCATTGCAATGTTTAGGATATGTCCAGCATTATTTGATAAAAAGGTCAGCAAAAGTAGAAAATCGTTTAGGTAGAGGATTATCGTGTTGTTGAATTGTGTTAAATTACTGTAATATCTCATATGCGACGTTAAATAAAAGGTTTCATTATGAGATATTATAAAAGTGAACAAGGTAATATACGAGAATATCGGTCGGAGACCGAAGACTTATCGATTTTAGATCGGTAATTAGTTAATAACTCGCTAATTATAACGACATAATTAACCCAAAATCTATAGGCTTCTGGTCCGAGGTAAGATGCATGCACATGCAAAATTTGGAGCAGATTCAACCACGCGTTCGTGAGATATCGCGTTCATCTAACAGACAAACAGACAGACAGACAGACAAACAGACAAACAGACAAATACCTATCAACATACTTACCGATCTTAAGATCGATAAGTAATAAGCATTTATTTGCTTTTAAAGATATTTAGTCGGAGCGTTCGAGCAAATTGCATTCGAGATTTTGTAAAGTTTGAATAGATTACAACGCGTCCAGAAATATGTACACCAAAACCGTCCGTAAATTACACCCAATACCAACTAATGGTTATGCATTTACTCATTGGAAGAAACGAAATTATTTCCTGGTTGGGAAACACTGTTTTAAATGAGTTTAGCATTTATAATTTCCGAAATCCGTTACAAAATTATTGTTTATATTCGACGAATTAAACATGACATTTGCGTTAACTAACAATTAATAATACTGGCATCCTGCCCAGAATCCTGTTTCGTATTGTTTGTTTCCTGGGTCGGATTTATTAATTAAAACAATAATTAAAAATAAACATTTCTGGTTTCCAAATAATATTAATTAAAATTTTTTAAAAAAAAAAACTGGCATTGGCTAGTTTGAAATAATTGTATCGTGAAATTATACTCAACATTGAAATCTATTAAAGATGACGTCTTGAATTCGATGACGTCACATTTGCAGTAATTTACCGATTTATCAGTACATTTATCCTCGTAAAAAGCAAGCTCAAAACGTAAAACTAAAATTGCTAAACATTACGTCATCAAAATAGTGACGTCACAGCTTACCTATTTCACAGTTTTTTCCTTTGTATCCTTCAGTACATTTACACTCGAAATGATCTGGTTCGGGGTTTGTGCAGGTACCACCGTTCAAACATGGTTGAAAGGTTCCACAATAGTTCAAATCTGAAATTAAAATTGGCGAAATGAGAAAGGTTTTCCAAATATTCTATATGTTGAAGGAATCTTAAGTAATTCTAATTCGAATTATTTCTCTATTTCGGAAGAATTCCGAACCGATTCTGATTCGAAATATTCTGTACACGAACAATTTCGAACCAAGCCTAATTCGGATGGTTATCGAAATTTTTGTTTTTTCTCTCCTCCTAAATATAGATACCAATTTGTACCAGCTTTGGAATATAGTAAATCGAATCCGATTAGCAAACTGCAAAAAAAAACATCACAGAGACAGTTTCTAATTGAATTTTTCAACAGATCAAAACAAATTGTTTAAAATGACATGAAACGTTCAAATAAAATAAAATAATCTCTTCAAAATAAATCATTTTTTTTTACTTATATTTTTTTCACCAAAAATGCGCTAATTACAGTAAAAATTTTAAATCCAAACATGTAATGGTAAACACACGCCCAAATAACGTGGAAAGCGTGCCATGTCACTGTATAAATAACTTATGAACCTTTGAGTTACATAACTTTTTCTTTTTGTTCCAAAAAAAAAAAATTCTGATGGAAAAATGGTAATCTGAATATGAGACAAATTATGAAGTCATAAATAAGTTAATTCATATGCACAAGATTGAAACAATCGCTGCCCGATAAAAACATTAATTTATTAATTCTTGATACCCTGCAAGGGTAATCACTAATCAGGCTTTGAATTGTGACGTCATGAAATCGATGACGTCAAAACTATTTAATCAACTTACTTTTATCACACAACAGTCCTCCCCAGTTTGTATCGCATTGGCATTGCCATGGTTTGGTGCATGTTCCATGTTCGCATCCAGGGTATGGGACGCACTTGTCGCATAGTTCGCCCTGCCATCCGTAGTCACATCTAGAGAGAAAGGAAAAATGTGTAATAAAAGCACAGCAGATATTCTAGAAAAATAGTTATATTCGATCGAAAATACTGTGTAATGTGCCTTTTATACCAGTGCATAAGTGTATATTCGAATATCTTAGAAAATGTTACTCAATTTAAACTTACAATCCTGCTTTGAGTAGCGTTTGACAACAATTTAAGTCACAAAGTATAAACAATACCTTTCATTGAATTGCTAAAAATTGTAAAAAATAGAGGACTCAATATATTTATGTAAACTTTAAACTCATATAACCTACTTCTTCGCGTTCCTATGACCCAAAACATGACCCAAATTTAGAATAAATGCAATATTTAGGAATATAATTTTAGAATGTATTCAGATTACTATATTATTAGATTTTGGCCACCCCCGTTGCATAATTCAAAATTCGGGCGTTAAAACTTACAATAGTATAAGTATAGCCTGACCTAGCGAGACGCAATCCGTAACTTTACCCAGTGCAAACGTCATTAAGAGCGTCATAAGACGTATTACATGTACTTGGGGCTATCTATACCCAAGTATACTTTTACTTGGGGTCGTGGTGAGCGGGATAGGTAACATATATCGAATTAAACCTCATGAAGTTTAACAGAATTAGCAAAAAAAGATGGTCAAATCAAAAAATAATCTGGCTGTGAATATAGACAATAATATATAGCGATATACAATATTTGGTGGGAAGATTATCGTTTTATTTTCACAAATGGCCTTTTTTTCGAAAATTCATTGTATACCAACACAAAACACGAATCAAAACACAAATTCACAATGCTAATGACTGTAACATACTTACGACGAGAATTTAATAGAAAAAGGCTACCATTATTATGTATTATATATTTATATTCCAACCCCAAGCGTTGAAACGACAACATAAACAATAAAAAACATGGGAGAAAGATATTTTACACATTATTTACGGTAATCCGTTACGGTTATGGTTTGGTTATTCGGTATAACGTGGTTCCCACATAATTAACACTTTGGGAAGCGAGTATTTAGTACCAATCATACTAAATGTATCTCAAGAAACGTGAAACCGCAATTCTGACATGGAAGAATGACATTCATTTCCCGCCATTTTCTTTAATGTTTGTTGGGTCATAATTGATAACATATGACGTGGGATTTTTGAAATTTTGTCTATATTTGTATTTTTTTTTGTAGCAAAAGAATTTTTCAGAAACGAAATTTAATTTTAACTGCGAAAAAATCATTTTTGTGTCAAACGAAAATAATTTACAATTTTCAAACCAGAAAAATACTCAATTTTTGTCAAAAACAAAAAAATGTGTAAAAACAAGAAAACCTAGAAATGCAAGAGCACAAAATTTGAACCAAAAACATTTTAATCAAAATATGAGACTCGGAAAACACGCGCGACGCCGAAGTTCATCGCCCCAGTCTGACACGGGGACCTAATGATGGGTTACGTGTATCTTAGAGGCGTTTTGGGTACATACGGTAATACGCCCTGATGCGATGTGGGCGCAATGGTTTTCGCTTGGACGACTTTCCCACGGCGAGTGTTGTGTATTGTAAAAAAACACGTAAATGTAACTTTTTTTGCGAAGGAAATAGTCTGATGCAATTTTTCGGTGGAAACGTTATTTATTATATTTTTTTTCGTTTCTCAAATTTGGAAAAAAAATCATACACTCATAAGAATTACAAAAGCTTTTTGGGTTTAAAATAAAAATGTATTAACATGTAAATGATAGTATATTTGACGGAATTTCTTGAATGTAGGAAATGACATGCATTTTTACTCTGTCAGTGTCTGCGGGTAGCTTTGTGTACGTGTGTATAACTTGTTTATTCGTTCTTAAGGTATTTAAGAAGGCATTTTGGACAAATATGTGGCAGAAAAAATTCCGATATCGATTTGAGTTCTAGTCGGTTATTGCAGTTTTCTTAGATGTTTCCTTTTAAGCTTTTATTCTGAAGGATGGTGTACAAGTGTGAAACATTTTTCTGTATCATATGTTGTCATTTTTTATTGTAAAACTCCTTTTAGACTTTCGAGACTTTTGAAAACCCTCGTTTTCCGGCCGGTCCCGCCAAGCCGCTATCTGCCCGAACTTCAAACATCGCCTCACCAATAATTTCGGATCTATTTTTTTTTTCATTCTGTCTGTTTCAAATTCAGGAAAATTAATGGTGCTCTCAAATATAACGACAATTTCTTCCAAATTTTTTCCGCACAACCTCAAATATGACTCCAATTACCCCGAATATCGAATCTAGACTTCCGAATTAGAAAGAAGGTCAACTTCTAGAGCTTTTCTGAGCCTAATTCACCTCATACACTGAATACCTATGATATCCCCAATACTAACAGTAAACAAGATAATAAACGACGCATAAGCCGCTAAATTCCATCTTGAATGAGTCATTAGGTTCCCATGGAACACACAACTAGTTTGGTAAATAGCAATATTTCATCCTCACGGTATTTTTCAAGTTAAAGACCCCTGGTTTAAACCCCGTGCCAACCACTTGACCCAAGGTGTAATAAGATTCTAGTGCTCTGGTCTAGATCATTGGCTCAATTCACATGTACTCAATAAATTGGTTATATAGGCGTGATATATGGGGAAGTCTCCGGTACTTACAAATATAACATCACTGATAATATTTCACCTCTCACAGTCAGAGGGCGTCAGCAATTTTCAAATGCGTTTTAAAATCTCTCATTACCACGTTAGATTGTAACAGCCGGAAAATTTCACGTTTTAATGGGAGGTGTTCCGCGACGTTAATCCGCTATTTTTCGTTCGATGGTTGGTTTGGTCAGTCTTATAATGCAATCACTTTTAGTGTGTCCAGTTCATTCACCAAATCGTAATCCCGATTACCGGATTTCATAAAATACTCATTTCTTCGAATATCATACCCCAGCGCGACCCCGAACACTCAGCCAATAGCGAAATGGACAATCAATCACACTTAAAGGTGTTGAAATTTATCGCCAAATGAGTTTACCGTAAACAACTAATGGCGGTGGAAATTGAAAATACATATTTATTTAACTCTGTGAACTTGGCGTACGGCTGAACCTACAAAATAAATTCGGGCCTTGCATGATGAGAGGCCTAGAACACCCTAATGATGGATGGCCAAGTTTTGAGTTTAAGGAATGAAAATCATCAAATTTTTTAAAACTGTAAAGTAATGTGAAAAACTAACTTTACTTGAATATAATGTACAATACGTCAATTTGATACTTCAGTATGTGACTATATGAAACAATGTAAAAATCAGTACTGCTATATAAGGCAGGCCGAATAAACTTTTAAATAGAGTTCGATACCATATCAGTCCCTATTTCTAACCTGTTGTCTATATGGCTGCCCAATAGCCCTCCACAGAGAGGGCCATTCATATGGTGAGTGCGGACAATCTATTTATATCTAATCCTACCCGTAACAAAAAATTTACTGTAATTTGCAAACAAAAAAATTAAATTCTGACTGAAATGTATGAGATTATTACTTTATCTTAGTCTTTCTAACAGAGCGAAGTTGAAAAGGGCAAGGGTTAACAATAAATACACATTCCACCCCAATATCGGTGTTTTTAAGCCTTCAAACTCATTCCTAAGTTCAATACAAACAGGCAAATTGATTGATTGCAATTAACGAAGAGTCAAAGGGCTAGGAGACTAGAAATAATCAAGAGATGATTTACGTGCATTTTAGAGTATAGAGCTGACATGAGCAAACTGCGGACTGTGGGTCAAATCCGACCCGCTGGGTGATTCAATTTTGTAACTAATTTTGTATGCACTACATAGTTTTTGTTATTGAATCTGTAGTGCCATAGTCTTGTTGGACACGTAGTGGACATAACGATCGTTTCGAAATTTTGTTGTTATTGTTATTATTATTATTTGTCTCCGTCAACACGTTTTGAAGAAATCGCTTTTCTCTTCGAATACTGGAACAATTGCTTTGAAATTTTCAGTGGTTGAAGATAAAAATTTTCTCCAGAAGGCTATTACTTTTTTCTTCGCTATGACGTCATCAAAATTATGTGACTCTACGTGTCCATATATTTGAGCCTAGTTCTCTTGTTATAGAATATGATAGCAGTATGTGTAAGTTGTATTTTAGATTGCCTTCAAGTTTCAACTTGGAAAAATTAGGACCCTATCACCTTTCTACCAGTATTTATGTTATTTACAAAATCTTAAAACGTATTCTAAGTGTTTACAAATGAAACATTTGTTAAGATTCGCTCTCAACAAGTACCTAGACAAGCTTCCACTCATTTTTAAAACCACTATGACAAAAATTAACAAAATCACCAGGTTTCGAACCCAGGACTTCAACTCCGATACTACTCTACAAAATACCATGAAACCCACTATTATTATTATAAGTATTCTCGCATCATTAAACTCTATTTCACAAGTCTGAGTACCGTTCCAGACAATCAACCTTTCTCATACTATTGTAACCTATGAGTAATCCATGTGGTTTAGGATATTTTAACCCGAGGCCACCGAGATATTTTTGAAATTAGGATGTGTACCAATATGGAGGTAACTAATTTTGTTCGCAAACTTTACATCAAGTTGTGTAAAGGGACTGAAACTTATGGACCAGGGGTATATTCACTTGGCTAACACAGACAGTCCCCGAACTCGTAATAGAACTGAAACAAGGAAAGTCGGTATAAGATTATGCCCTAACCCTAACCCGGTACACACACTACGCGAGTACCCATCTTTCTATATCTGTATAACTATGTACCGGGAAGTATAAACAAATCAGTGTCAAGTACTTAAAACATCAAGTTTTGCTTCGAACTACACTAAACGGCACAAGCTACTCAAATTTCCCGGCAAAACATAACAAAACAGGATTTGTAAACAATACTGTCAAAAAGTGAAGTAAAATGTCATGGATTTATAGGAACAAAGTCTTTAAATGTGCATAAATGTTCAAAAAATATCCCTTTT